GGAAGTGTCAAGAGGAACACAATGTAAAGTATAAGATTGTCTAATCACTAAGCTGTACACCTAAAACAAAAGCAACATCCAACTGAAAGAAAATAAATAAATAAATTGGAGAAGCAGAAAATTAAAAAATATATATACTTGAATATTTCTTAACATTAGGTTAAAATAGGATTATAAGTGAAAAATAAAGTCAAACTAAATCTACTCACATGCCAGTAATTTACTTGTGTGAATAAAAGCAAAATTGAGTTTATGAATGATGTGTCCTGATTCTTGAGTCTCTCTACACCCCAAAATGGTAATTTCAGGGCTCCCTTATTATCGCAAAGGAAGGTACCAGATCTTTGCACTGGGGTGCTGTGGACAGATCAGGTGTCACTAAGCACTAGAGAGAAAAGATGCTCAAGTACCAGTAACTAGAAAATGACTGTGTACCTGTATATAGGTTTATAAGCATATAAAGATGTTAAATAAATGAGAACTCCCCAAATTCAACTAAGTAGTTACATTTTACCTTGTGGTCATTTTTCTTCTTGCCTCTGTATTTATTTCCATTGTTTGTTCTTGCATGTCCTTCCTCCAAGTTTTGTTTCTTTGCTTTCTTTATTTTATAATTTTTTCCCTCTTGTCATTTCTCCTTGCATTAACTCCTAGAGATCTGGGAAATAAAGTGTTCTTCAAGATTTCCTCATGCCTTTATCATGATTCAGATACTAAGCAATAACTATTTTTTTCCTCCTTTCTATATAAATATCATATCTATTAATAAAAGGGTAACATGCTAATTAGATTGGGTCAACTGGACATCTGGTCATCTTGCCTTTCTTCCGGACAAAACCACAGTGGCAGGAGTCAAGGCGGAGGTGGTTAGGGGTGATCAGGTCAGAAGGGGAGAACAGTTAGGGGTGATCAGGCCAGCAAGGTAGGGCAGTTAGGGGTGATCAGGCCAGCAGGGGAGGGGAATTAGGGGAGATCAGGCAGGCAGGTAGTCAGATATCTCCCAAGGGGTTCAGGATTGGAGAGGGTGCAGGCCAGGCTGAGGGACCTTCCCCCCCCACCTGCATGAATTTTGTGCACTGGGCCTCTAGTTATATAATATTATATTATACATATAGTAAACATATCCATGCTTATAAGTTAAATAAACTTTTAAAAAAAGTAGTTTCAGATCAATGAAAATAAGAGTGGCAAAGCCTACCTTTAGTATTATTACTCTATTGAGAAGTAGACTGCAAAGCCAGGAGGAATCATAGGAATCTCAGAAAATATCTTGTCTTGTTCCTCTATAAACAATGGAACGAGATAGATGAAGGCCCTAAGAAACTGAGAGGACAGCTTTTTAGAAGATCACATTTCTGTTTTGAAAAAAGAAGTGACTCATTAAATTTTACGAAATTAATTGCTGACTTGCCAATAACATTTGGGACTTAAGTAGTAAAAATGATCAAGTCTCCTTTCCCAATGAAAAACAACAATGTTCCCAATGGGAAAAGTCATTCTAGGATTGCAGCACATGTTGTTTAGGTCAGTGTCCTGCTTCATACCATAATCACATGCCTCTTCTATAAATCTGAGAGGACTTGGAAGATGATGATCCTCACCACACCCACCTAGGTCTCAGCACATGCACTGAGGTACAAGTCTCTCTCTGCATTTCATCAGCCATCACCTGAATGAGATACTCACTGAGTATCAGGTTTGATTTTACAAAAATTAGGGCTATTCATTGGAAATTTATTAAAGTTCCTGATAATAATTTAAATGAAGAACACATAGAAATTTTTACTCTCACATTCAAGATTTTATTTTTTTTTAAAATATGTCTTTATTGACTTTTTTGATGGACTTTTTTCCCTCATATTCAAGATTTTAGAGAACAAAAACTTGTTTTCAAGCTAGAGCCCTAGTGCATGACATTCATCCCTAGGGGGGGGGTCCCCCCTCAGACCAGCCCCCAGCCTTTCACAGTCCAGGATCCCTGAGGGGTCCCTCGTGCTGCTGCAGAGGCGAGAGAGGCCCCCACCACTGCCACTGCACTCACTAGCCATGAGTCCAGCTCCCCATGGGAGCGCACTGATCACCAGAGGGAAGCTCCTGCTTTGAGCTTCTGCCTCCTGATGGTCAATGTGTGTCATAGCAACCCATTGTTTTGCTGTTTGGTCGATTTTCATATTAGCCTTTTACTGTATAGGATTGAGATGTATGAGGAGAGTGAGCCATCTCATAAATGGTAGAAACTTACACTCCCACATGCTTTAGATTTCTTGTATTTTTATTTCCTGGCAAACTATAAGACAAGACTGGACACTGACTTTCATACTTTTATTATTCTTCAGGTGTGAGGGAGAGAAAGAAGGTGAAATAGATAGGCTGTATTATTATGGCCTTGGTCCACTTTGTTCCTACAACTTGGCCCACAGGTTAAATCTGAAAACATAGTTGTGTCAGTGAGTATCAGTCTTTACAATATTTATATAGGACATACATGCTACCCCAATAAGAGCAGCTCCATAAAATGCAATGATAACCTGCATTCTAAACCCAGTCAAGCAGAGGGCCATGAATATTTACATGTCCCTCCCAAGGACCTTAATGGAGAGTGGCCGCGTGGGTTGATGAAAACACAGTTAGGTCCTTGGATAGCCAAATTGCAAAATGGAAGTAATCTTGCCCCTGGCTGGTGTGGTCAGTGTGGTTCAGAGGTTAGAGCATCAGCGTGCACACTGGAGGGTCACGGGTTTGATTCTTGGTCAAGGGTGCATACCTGGGTTGTGGGATTGTTCCCTGTCCCTGGTTGGGGCACATGTAGGAGGCAACAAATAGATGTCTCTCTCTCCCCTGTCTTCTCTGCCTTGCTCCTGACTCCCACTCTCTCTAAATATCAATGGGAAAAATATCCTCACTCCTCAGGGGATATTTAAAAATAAACAACAAACAAACAAACAAACACATAGATAGATAGATAGATAGATAGATAGATAGATAGATAGATAGATAGATAGATAGAACTAGTCTTAAAGCTGCTATAAAGAAGGTTACATTTAAGGAGGTTTCAGAAACTTTTATTTGTGCCCATGGGTACTCTTTGCAGTCTCTGCTTCATTTTGGGAAAGAAACACATGGAGTTCAACCTTCACTTGCCTCTTGGGGAAGATTCTCAGCGGCTGGGGAGAGCTAATGCCACCTGTGTGGCAGGATAGCATTTCACCTGAGTTGAGTAGCTTTTTCAGAAAGAGTGGGTGGTTTTCATCCTTTTAACCCCCTCGCTACCATTCTCTCTCAATCTAGTTATTCGTTTAGCACATGGAGGGGAGTTTGCATGAGTTGAGTCACTTTATATGCAACAGAGATGCTCACAGAGGAGGAGGATTTTACAACACAGTGCTCACCATCCTGAGTAAACCAAGCCTTTGTAATCCTAGCCAGTGTCACATCTGTCATAAATCCATGTGGTTTTAAGAGGAGCGGGGTGGGGTGTGGGGGGGGAATCTACAGAAAAAAACACACCACCTTTGTTTTATCGTTGTTTTGTCTTGTTATGTAATTTAAAAATATTCATAACAATGAACCATTTTGTGCTGCTCAGCAAAAGCGGTGTGCACTTCTTGTTTGCTAATTTAAAAAAGCAGTTCAATGATTGGTGTGGTGTTTATTGTGAAATGATGACAAAAGAGTGCTGGTGGTTTTAATAGTTTTAGCTGACGAGAGCTGCTGTTAATTTTGTCTGTAGTGTTGCAGGTGAAAAAATGCACAATGGATAAATAGTCTATATTGGTTTAACTGAACATAATATATAGTGTGTTCTGGAGTTGTTTGTCTCAATAGACTATAGTAATCAAAAGTAATGAACCTATTATGTGCAGGACCTTGGAGAGCGTCAAATGGCAGTAAAAGTGTGGCACATAAAAGGTTTATTAAAGGAAATTAAAGTCCATCATTGCCACACCTGCTCCCCTATTATAAGTCTATGGCAGGTCAGTGCCTTCAATCACAACTCAGCCTCGGCGAGCAGAGATGCGTCTCCCATTACCATCGCAGTCACTGTCTTCCACACTGGGGTCAGGATTTAGGGACGGGAGCCACACAGAGCACCTTCTGCCCGTGTCTGATTCTCAACAAGCAAAGCAACTTCTTTCTATTTAAGATACCCTTCTGACAACATGTAAACGTGAACTAAGCTAAGAAATTGCCAGGGGAATCTACTGAAATGGATGTATGCACCCAGATCAGCATCTATCTCCATGTGGACAAATGCTATAGGCTTCTGGAATTTTTGCCTGCCTTTGAGAATGTATTTGATTATGTTTAAAATAGTTAGTGGTGGCGTTTTAGGATATTTACTGCCACACCTGACACTCAAATGTCACCTTCCTTATAGATTGGGGTGATTATAACCAGTGTTTATTCTGGAATTCTGAAAGTAAATACACGCCATTTTTGCTAATCAACATTTCCAATGGTATTTTGAAATAGGGACATTTCAAGGGGTTGCCATCATATTGCTTTTTTTTTTTTTTTTTTTTTTTTAACAGGAGGAATAATTTTTTCTGACTTGGTAGGAGGTATGTATCAGAAAAGGTCTAGAAATGCAAAGGAATCAAGTTTTAGAAAATCAGTCTGAAACCTTTAGGTTTGGCATTTGAGGTTTTGGCTCCTTCACAACCACTGTGAATCAGACAATCCTTTTTTTTTTTCTCTCTCTCTTTCTCTTTCTGTCCTTGTAATGCCAACAGTGTTTGAATCACTAGCAAACACTTATGGACAAGGACATCTGCCCTCTTGTCACTGTTTCCTGTGGCTCCAGCATCTATAGAAGTTATTTCCCAAACTCAGGGAGTGTGAGGGCAGCCACAGTTCTACCCCTGTGGGGTCAGAATGCCATTCAAGAACACGGAAGTCTATTCTGCTTTTCATCGTGACCTTAAGAACTTCTAATGACATGTTTTCACATCTTGGTCAATGTCGAAGGAATGACCTCAGGACTTGTGCTCCTGTTACAGATGGATGCAGAGGCTGAGGATAAAACGCAGCGTACCCACTCCAAAGGAACGAAGGGTGAGTTAGCAAGCAGGTTCCAGGACACCGTGCCCACCACACCATGAAATATGGGTGTTCTGGTGCTCAGTCCCTGACATGCAGAATGGTGACAACTTCCTCAGAGCTGCTGCTTCTTTCTTTCTTTCTTTCTTTCTTTCTTTCTTTCTTTCTTTCTTTCTTTCTTTCTTTCTTTCTTTCTTTCTTTCTTTCTTTCTTTCTTTCTTTCTTTCTTTCTTTCTTTCTTTCTTTCTTTCTTTCTTCTCCTCCTCCTCCTCCTCCTCCTCCTCCTCCTCCTCCTCCTCCTCCTCCTCCTCCTCCTTCTTCTTCTTCTTCTTCTTCTTCTTCTTCTTCTTCTTCTTCTTCTTCTTCTTCTTCTTCTTCTTCTTCTTCTTCTTCTTTTTCTTCTTCTTCTTCTTCTTCTTCTTCTTCTTCTTCTTCTTCTTCTTCTTCTTCTTCTTCTTCTTTCTTCTTCTTCTTCTTCCTCCTCCTCCTCCTCCTCCTCCTCCTCCTCCTCCTCCTCCTCCTCCTCCCCCTCCTCCTTCTCTTCCTCCTCCTCCTCCTCCTCCTTCTCTTTTTTGGTAAATCAAGCTAGAACATTGGATCATGGTATTGAGAGGCAGCCTATTCTGAACCAGGAGCTAAAGGACTCAGAGAAGCCCAAATGATAGAGGATGCTAATTTTTGTGAAGTGCAATCATGAAGTAGACTTGAACATCTTGCAAAGCAACATCAGGGTCCGAGAGGGAAGGATGCTTCCTGGAGACCTTCCCATAATCGATGTGACCTTTAATGGCCCAGGGAAAAGACCACATTGTTCATTTATTGCCAAAAACAGGTTTTGATTTTTATGTTATCTGGCTCCGTGGCTCCCAATCTAAACTTAGTTCAAGTAAAATGATGATGTTTATCTTTTGACTGCCCCTGCTGGGAATTTCAGACAGCTCCGTGAAGAAATGTGTGAAAGGTTTAACTTAATGGTTCTCCCTCCCTTTTGGTAACCAACAGATGGTAATGTAACATTGAAATAGAAACAGGCCCTTGATGATATAAACATCTGGAAAACGGGATTGACTTGCAATAATACACCTTAAGGAAAATAACTTTTATTATAATGAGCTGTCTTTTTGCGACCCTTAATTGTAAATGGACATCTGTAGGTTCATCATAGCATCGGGAAAGGCTCTGGGTAGCCTGGTTGAGAGCTCAGGCCTGAGTCAGGTAGCAGTGGGGCGATACTTTGGAAGCATTTTGAGATTCATCATTGAAAGTGGCTTGCTTTTGTTAGCTATGCTTACATATGTAGTCAAGGTCAATGGAATGCTTTTGTTAGCTATGCTTACATATGTAGTCAAGGTCAATAATTCCTGTCTGGGAAAAGTTCAGATTCCAAAATTTTAAATAAATACCAGGATGATTCTCCCTCCCCCCCCCCCCATTAAAATGTTTATCACTAGACATGATGACCAAAATACAGCATAATGTAAATATGAGATATGGGGCTTTCCCTAAACAGAAATTTGACACTGTATTATTTCTAGTTTTAGTTTTGAGTTACCTTTAAAGTAATGCATCATATAGTGTAATATTTACTAGTAGAATATAGTATTTTTAAACATTAAGATTTTATGTAGCAAACTTCCCCATTAAATATAAATATAAGAAAAAGAGTTTGCATCATTATTTAATAGAAGCTCATGTCTGCCATAAATAACAGAGCTCTAGGGACTGTATTTGGATAATAATCTCTTGCTTAGACTCCTAAAAGCACACTACTCTAGTACACTTGGAAATTGTGGCTGTTTAATTTGCAATTTTTTTTTTACTTCAAATTCCTTTGGCACATACATATACATTCTTAAATAGAGCCAAAATGTTCTTCAAGAAATGAGACAACTGTTTCTGTGCAGCATGAGTAATCTTTCAAACCACCTGTTGTCTCTCTCAATATGCTGCTTATCCTTGTGTAGGCAGGTATTTATAAACATGCACTTCTTTAGTTCCCATCTTCCCAGTAAGAAAAATCAAAGCTCTTTTTTTTTCTCCCTATAAATTGCTAATTTTGAAAGATGTTGATATTTAACATGGCTGATGCCTACTCTCCTCTCTCCATGTATAAAATGTGTGGAACAAATCTTGGGACATATTTTTTTAGTAAACCTTTTGCCAGTTCTATTTACATACTTGTTTAATGTCAATTAGGATGTTAAATAGGGGTGTGTTTTTTTTTTAATTCTTCATAACAATAAAATGGGTTAAATTGATTTAAAAAGTAATTCAAGTCCTTCATGCCCCTGTGATTTTTGAATGTATCTCTACTAAAGACAGATATTCAGAAAGTCCAACCCATGACATCAAGTTCCCAGGGCCACCCTAGGCACTAAACCTAGAGTCATCTGTTCTGGGCCATAGTCATTTGTCCTCCTGTCTCCAAGGAACCAGAACCAGAAACAATCGACCCACCCGTGGGAACTTGAGTGGGGTCTGGACTAGCCATCTGCTGGGCAGGATGTCTAGGTAGGTGAATAATTTCAGTTGCACAGTTTTCAAAATTAGTAACTGATATTTTTTTCCCCCCAACAGTGCCCATGAATTCTCTAATCCAGGAGCTCAGGTAAGGTTTGTCCTACATTACTTTTTCTAACATTGATTTGCTTTAATTATTAGAATGTTTTGTATTCAGAATCCCTGGTTTAGTATGAGGAATAAAGCCAATGGGTTTACTCCACGTAGCCTCTGTCTATACACCAAAAAGGGGAAACACTATTGAAGATTAACCTAAAACAGTTCAAACTTCTCTTGTGATAACAAAACCCACAGCGTTTTGCTGTAATGTGAGTAATTTTCCACTTTTCTCCGTAGAGTGTGTGCTGCCTCTGTGTACACACCTCACATGTGGTTTGTTTGTGCCGGATGGTAAGTGAAGAACTTGATTAATGGATAACCCACGTTTTAAATTCTTTACTCTTTTTTGTTTTTCTTTAATACTCAGATAATTCTACCAGGTAACCACATGACTTTTTCTAATGTGACTGATAGGTACTGGGGTGGGTCCAAGCATTTCCACCACGTATACTGTAAATGCGCCTCAGGTAATATTCTGAAAAGTCCACCTTAATAGGTTTTGCAGAATAAACTCCAATTAGATTTCCTTTCACAGTATCATTGTGAAGTACAGTGTGGTTTTTGAAAAGTATTTATTTATTTGTTTTAAATATTTTTTTTTTAAATTGATTTCAGAGAGCAAGGGAGAGAGAGAGAAACATCAATGATGAGAGAGAATCATTGATGGTCAGCCTTCGGCAGGCCCCCTACTGGGGGATCGAGCTCACAATCTGGGCAGGTGCCCTGAGTGGGAATGGGACCATGACCATTGAGCCACACCAGCCAGGCTCATGTGGTTGTTTTAAGTACATATTTGAAGATAAACACGTACTGACAATACGCTTCCTGTACTGGTGACACTTTGTAGTGAAATTGTTTTTAGGAACAGGATTAGAACCTTGCCTCTGCTCTAGATTTACTGTTGCAAGTCCAGAAAGTCCCAGGCCCACTAACTAACCCCACTTTCTGTAAAGACAACAGTGGCCTGTATGTGTTCCTCAGGGAAATGTTTGGAAACTGAAGGCTATGTCACAGTGTCTGATCCACGTTGACATTGATCATATGTGCATTCACAGTTCACATAGTTCTTTTTCCAGGCAACTGTGCTCTGTGGTTTCCCCAAGCAAGGGCCGAGTTGCTTCTGTTGTCCCAGGATTCATCCTGTCAGTTTTGGTTCACCCATTTCGTGGGACACAAATCCATCAGACCTGAGTACAAGCTTTCACGCTAATGCTCTTCACTGTGGAAATATTGTAGTGGGGAATCCCTGTCTCCCTGCCTCCATTATCGGTGTAATCATTGAGAATTTTACATGACAAGCTACTTTTCTATGAGAGCAAAACATATAGCATAACCCACACTGAGACAGAATGAAAATATTGAAGTTTTCTGGGTCACTTAAATTCTTGGTTTTAGAATCTGTTCTCATTTAAAAGTCCTATCTGTTTGGAGACTTTATGTTCCCTGTAGAATGATCAAAAGACAGTGTCGTGATCAAAGGCTCAGAGTGGGTGAGGTGTTTGCCATCATGGGGAACGGCTTCCTCCTGGTCTGCCACAGAAATTGGGTGCCCAGGAGCCCATGGTCCACTCGCCTGGACCATGGAAGTGGTCATCCAGAGTCTCTTTTAGAGACTCCAACTATTCTGAGGGGAGGGGAGAGGCGTTTTGAGTGACGTGTCGTGTGTGGTAACATGAAAAAGAAAAGAGAATATTGAAAAATGAGTGTGTGCTTTCGGCCAAGGAGAAATATATAATTCATAGAGAAAAGGGAAGGAATTCATAAAGAGAAACAACCTTGTGGGGGAGGAATGTTTAATAGAACTTTCTGGAGAAATAGGAATTACTATTTAAGTTACTTTATTAGCATTTATTATAATAGAACTAATATTTATTGTGATCTTATTGTATGCCAGACATTCTTGAGCATTGTCATTTAATCCTCACAACATTATATTAAAACAAAACAAAACGATGAGAGTTCCAATTTTCAGATGGAAAAAGTGAAACTAAAGAGCTTATATAAATAGTCCAAGATTTCACCACTAGTAAGTAATCCAGACTTCTGATTCAGAGACCAGTTTCTCAACTCCAAACAATGCTTTCTGTCCTACACAATTAATAGTACCTGCCTAGAATATAAATTAAAAAAAGAAATGGTTCAGCTGGATTTTGAAATTTTATGCTTTAACACTTATGGTGTGTTTCTTAAAGCTTAATTTTCTGAAATTCAAACAAAGAATATGTTTTAATTAAAAATAATAAAACAATAAAGTAATAAATTATTCTAATTCCCTAAAAATTATTTTTTATCAGATATTTAATGTTAGCTAATTTGTTAGACCAACTCAGAAAACTGGTGATAATTGCTGATAAAATTTAGAAACCAAATTAATTCACCTATTTTTCTTGAATAAAAACCAGTTTGTAAAAATTCCTGATTACTGTTAATTTTATAACTGCTTGTTTTCAATGGAATAATCATGCTTAGGCTGAGTAGACTCCACGTTGCTGCTGAAATGCACTAAATTGACCCCAGATGCAGACCCTAATGATTATTCTATGTAAATTCTTGGAAAAAAGTTATAATTCACTTGGTAGATTATATTTCTAGTGTCTTTAATTTTGTACAACCTCATTTGTACATTTGAGGCTACACTTGTTCCTCCTTTTCTTCCTCTCAGGTTTGTGATGATCTAGAATTCAGAATTTCTTTTGCGTCTGAAATTTGAGTATCTTAGACAAGGTAGCGTATTTTCCTCGGTATGAAAGTTAAGTCTATTTTACAGAGAACATTGGCAACTTTATTTAGTGTTCCTTTTTAGAATGCATTGAGCATGCTATTGCTTCCAGAGATACCACTTACAAAAATACTAAACCAAAAGCAGCTAATTTAAATACACTATATTATTCATGACGCTAATAAAAATTGATACTGACATTCTCATCTTCTTATTATCCTCTATGTCAGCTACTATCATCACCATTAGAAAAGCAATTTATAACCAGAGGCCCACCTTTCGTCATATTTCTTATTAGCATTCCCTCATCTTTCCAACACCATCCGGGTTACAGTTCAGGTGTTGAGAAGGCTCTCTTGGCATCTTTCTACATCATGACCATGGGATTATCTTTGCTCTTTACATTTGTTACTATTATCCTTAATCTGATCCTCATGTTTTGAACCTCCTAACATCGGTCATTGTCTCATGCATTGGAAAATGTTTTTACACCAGACCAGTCCCTTTGCTCTAATTAAAGATATATTCCAGCTCATGAGTGGCTTTCTTATTCTTTTGCTGCAGGGAGTACGGAAAGGCTGGGGGCAACCACAGACCACCCAGTGCTGCCTCTGGCTCAGCCGCGTAGTCAAAAGCCGTGTAGAAAGCCCTAATCTGCCCTGAACTTGGCTCCTGAGTTAAATGTGGATAAAATCAGTTGTCCTGACTATCCTGTGAGCTTTTATGGATCCAATTAGACACAGTGCATATTATTTCAACAGGTCACTCAATAGGTACATACTGCAGGCCCACCCGATAGCAAACTCAATGCTTAATGCTATGAAAGGCTATGTCATGCTATAAATATGGGATAGCATTTTTGTTAATGGGATGTACTTATTAAAGAACAAGCTCTTTTTATTTATTTTCATTCTTGTCTAAAGTCTCCCTAATACGTTTTAAGATACTTTCTTACCCTAGTAAATACACTACCATAAACAAAACGATCTCTCTGGAATGATTAAGTCATCTTATGCCTCCACGTTGCACTCCCTGTATGTTCCCTATGTTTTGTAAAGTATGTCTTAAAGTATATTTTAGAGAAAAAAAATACTATGAGGCTTATGAGTAAAAATTCAGAGTGGCATTTCTCAAAAAAGAATCAGAACAAGAAAATATGGTTTATTTACTTTACCTTTTTCCTGTGATAAAATACCTTCACAAGGATATTAACCAGTGAGTTATAGGAGTCTAAGGCACTAATATTTATAGAAATCAGACATTTTCTAACATTGACAAAATGCCACCACTGCAGGCTGTACATGAAAGCTTACTTCACTGTGGTGTTCAGGTTTGCAGAGTTCACTCACAGAGATAGAGATATTTTTTTCACCCATCTAGCTTTTATTTTTGTAACACAAATATTTTTTTTAACATTTTTTTTATTAAATTATTATCTGTGTACATATACCATTGTCCCCCCCTCCTATACATGCCCTCCCTCCCCAGAGTTTTGTGTCCATTGATTGTACTTATATGTATATATACAAGTTCTTCAGTTGATTTCTTATCTACCCCAGATCTCCCTACCTTCCCCGCTGTAATTTGACAGTCTGCTTATTGCTTTACTGTCTTTATACCTGTCTTTTGGTTCATCAGTTTATAATGTTCTTTATTATCCATAAATGAGTGAGATCATGTGGTGTTTCTCTTTCATTGACTGGCTTATTTCACTTGGCATGATGTTCTCCAATTCCATCCAGGTTGCTACAAATGATGAGAATTTCTTTTTTATGGTAGCATAATATTCCACTGTGTAGATATACCATAGTTTTTGGATCCAATCATCTGCTGATGGGCATCTAGGCTGTTTCCAAATCCTAGCTATTGTAAATTGTGCTTCTATGAACATAGGGATGCATATATCCTTTCTGACTGGTGTTTCTAGCTTCTTGGGATATATTCCTAGGAGTGGAATTACTGGGTCAAATGGGAGTTCCATTTTCAGTTTTTTGAGGAAACTCCACACTGTTCTCCACAGTGGTTGCACCAGTCTGCATTCCAACCAGCAGTGCACAAGGGTTCCTTTTTCTCTGCAACCTCGCCAGCACTTGTCATTTGTTGATTTGTTGATGATTGCCGTTCTGACAAGTGTGAGATGGTACCGCATTGTTGTTTTGATTTGCATCTCTTGGATAATTAGTGACTTTGAGCATGTTTTCATGTGCCTCTTGGCCTTCCTTCTGTCTTCTTTTGAAAATATTCTATTTAGATCCATTGCCCATTTTTTA